CTAAACCCAGGTGGTGCGGTCACCGACGGCAGGCGCGGCAGGACGAGCCGGGTACTGAGGCAGGTCCGCAGGAGACTGGGCTCAAACGCTTGAGAGCGAGTCCAGCCAGCAGCCCACCAAGGCCGAGGCGTAGCCTCCTCAGCCCCGCTCTGGACAACCGACCGCTGGTGCCAACCCGGTGCGGAGCGCTCCCCACCCTGCTCCCGAAGGGAAATCACCCCACTCCCGTCTGCCTTCAGAGAAAAGGCCGTTATCTCCCAGGCCAACGGGAACTACAGAAACTCGCCCAGGAAACTCAGAGGACCAGGCGGCTCACAAAACTCGGAAGGCTGTGAACCTCTGGGGCGCTCACTGCTTATTCCGGTGTTTCTTTCTTGATACCTTCTTTTTTGCATTTGCTATTTGGCTACATGTAGGAATTGAAAGCCAAAAGTTTTAAACGAAATATTTTATACCTAAATAACCCAATACTGCTGTTACTGAATGCAGCATTCCTTGCAGAGACGAGCAAAAAGTAACCTGCTGTTCTTAGTAAACAGGCCAGCAAGGAGCGAAATCAGACACTGAACAAAACATGGAAATCCTCATCTCGGCCTTGAGCCTGGACCGCCGAAGGTGCGGGAAGTTTTGCCACAGGTGCCAAGGGGAGGTGGATCGTACCTGCTTCACGGCGTGGCAGGTATTCAGGAAGGGGACGTGACACCAGGAGCACCTGGCTGCAGTTGGCAATCTATTATAACAACTCCAGGAAAGTTTTTTGTCTTGTACTTTTTAATTCAGGGTCATTAGGTTTACTTTATTAAAACTGTACAAAATTAGATCGCGTGTATACGGAGTATCTTTAGACAAGGAGAAGATACAGGGTTGTGTTAACAGAAGTCATTACAGATGTTCCTCAACAACGTAATTTAGGGAGCAAACATTATCATTAGTTCAGCGAAATATTGTCTAAATAATGACTTTGAAAAAACCTTTCTATGAACAGAGCTATTTTAATATTATCCTCAGTATACTTTAAATGCCACAGAGTCAAGTAATAGTTATTTTTTGGGAAACACATTTGTCATAACACTCCCTGCTGAAACACTTGCTTTCTGATCACCAAATTAGGATGAAATGAACTGTGGTTCTCTAAAGGAGGTTTTTTCCACGTTGCACCATGAGCCAATTCTCCACCCCTTCCATGTTATTTAAAATATGCCCACTGAAAATGTCCTGCCTACAAAGGATTATGAGGAAGAGCTCTGTCATCCGCTTTCTCTGAACTATGTGCCTTTTCTTAGCTATTGATGTAGCGAGGCAGTCAGTGGTAAGCCAGCACAAAACATGGAGAAACACATCGTCTAGCATCAATAAACAAGGAATTACTTCCTAGGCTAATACCTTTCCAGACACATCATTATTGCCTTAAACAAAAATTATCCCAACCTGCAGATTTTCCCCTTGTTCACTTGAAATAAAAGATGCAAATCAAATTCACTGAATCAAGTTGTAATATATTCACAAAGCTGCTTCTCACATAGAAGTCCTTGCAAGAAAAGGCAAAAACGATCTGCGAATTGCCACGCAAGGCAATCAGTCATGAAATTGCAGCTGAAAACTAATGCCGCTTTTGTTCAAACTCCCTTTTACCCTTGCTATACAGAAAATGACCTGGACCATAATTACACACGTGAGAAGAAGGGCAACGACAGCCACTTGGTAATGCTTCTGAACTTACAGAAGACTTGAAAATTTGATCAAAAAATGTGAGGATCACAGATCTTAAACTATCCAACTGCATTAAAAAACCCCACAGGAATTCTCTGTGTAAACATGGTAAGTTCTCAGCAGCCGTAGCCAGGAGCCACGAGTGCCCTCGCTCGCCCCTGTTGGTGCCATCCTGGCAACGCACAAACATATCTTCTTCGTTAAAAACACGCAGACAGAGCGTCTGAAAAACAACCCTCAAAAATGTCATTGATACTATGATTCAAGATCAAGCAATAGCTGGTTGTTGCTAGAATTTCTTATTATGACCACAGAGCAGATCTGTTTTTATCTAGTTATTAAAGAAAAAGCTGCTAAATATCAGACGAGGCCTATTTAACAACGTCAGATATTAGATGAGAAAAATAACAATGCTTTAAAATTAGCGCTAAGATTTGAAGTGAAAGGGCTTGATTGCAGGCCAGAAAGGCTTTTCTCCTCAAGATCCCCACTGTTTATGTAAACCTGCCCCCTCTATTTCTACATAGGTACTGGCAGCTTTTTGAAGGTTAGATTAAACCTTTGCAGAAATAGGTACAAGCCCATTCCACTTGCAATGACTGGTTAAACCAAAGTAACAGAATCTGGCCCAGTATCTTTTTATTCAAATAGCAGAACCAAAGAAAATATGGACATTACAGAAATTAGGATTTCTACGATTCCTGGATATCAGAGCTGACAAC